ACTCCGTCAGTGAGGCATAATTTAGAGGGAGTAAAAGGTATTGAGGTTAAACTAAGAAGAAAGTGGTCGAAGTGTTACTCGAATTTCAGCCAATCATATGGAGGTATATATGCTTTTTGAGACTGTGAAGTACTTAGTTTCGCTTGAGCTTGATTTATGCTTCGAGAAGAAAAATTGTTAAAAATGGGAATTTAGACATGATGTTTGTTATATAAGCCATTAAGAAGGCGAGGGCAAGCGGGGTCTCGGTAGTGTAAGGGATAAGAGCACGGTCCCCGGAAAGGACAAGTACGGGTTCGAGTCCCGTCCGAGACTGAAGTTTTGTCCATAAATCGCCAACCTTGTGAGGAATTTAGACAAATATGTAGATTAGAAAATATAACTGTGGTCCACATGTGGCTACATTGCCGTCAACGGGTTAATTTTATCTATTATTCACTGTACCACGCAATCTCGCTAACTGCAGAATCCGTCCTATCGGCCAGAGAGGCCACACCATTGTGTAGAAATGCTACCTGGGCATTTCGCTTAGGATTTACTGACAAAGGCAATTAGAAATGAGAAAATAAATATTGATTAATTCTGATTTGAGTGACATTTTCTACAAATGCAAGAACGGATTCTCATTTTTCGATGCGATCGATGGCGATAAGATTTGGGCACGTGATGAAATTGGCAAGGTGAGAAACGTACACACCCCTGCATCAGTTTTTCAATATAATGAAAAATGCATGGGAAAAATCAAAGTGAATTTTGCGTGGAAGTCCCTTTTCTTTACTTGACAATGTGCTGTCGTAGTCTACGGCGACGATTCCCTATCAGTATCTCGTCGCCTCACCGGGTGAGATGATTTCCCAACTTGATCCACGCCCCCAATGGTGATGCGGGATCAAGCGGACGTAAGTGAGTGGGTACGCACGTCTTCCTCTAACAGCATTAGAGCAAGACGTAGGTTGTGTGGCTGTAAATATAACTCATCGTTTACCTTTATTCTATGTTGTTATAGCCGAATAAGTCGAAAGTATAATAAAATCAAATTCAAAGTGATTTCACATTTTTCAAAAGGTAATCAAACATAATTGAACGAGGTTCTGCATAAAAAATAGAATCGAACGAGGTTCTGTCATAATTTTCTAATAGCAACATAACAAAGTAATCTAAACAACCCAGAAATGATGGCACTTCTCTTCTACAAAAACCCATTATCTGATGCGCTAGCACCCTGGAGAATTCAATTGCACGCCACGTTCGCTTTAGGTTTTTATTCGTCACTGAAATTGTCGTCATGCAGCAAAAAAAGTCTAAAAGTGTTCATTGTTTAGAAACTGTCCGCTTTACAAGTAAAAAAATTTCGGCGAAGTATGAGAAACATTCATATCGGTCCTGAACTTGTTGCTCAACTCAATAGCGCTGTGATGAATGTAACGGTAATATCATAAAGCTTCATTATGGTTACGGAACTAGAATTGAACTATAGTATATTAGGTGTGTGCATTAATTCCTGCCGTTTTTCTGCGTGCAAAAACATAATTATTACAAGAGCAAAACAAAATCTACATCAACCAATGATTGGCCATTGTTAGCTATAACTTCTTGCCATCTTTATGGTATCTTGTTGATTCCACTCCTTGAAAAGTATTCATCTGTTGAGGCAATCCAGTCATCAACCCATTTCTGCACTTCTTCGGCATTCCGGAAGCGTATATCTACCAAACTGACTTGCATGTACTAAATGAGTGGTTATCCGAGCGAGCTAGGTCAGGGGAGTATAGGGGCTGGGCAAGTTGATCTAATTCAGGATCTGCAACTTTTTTTTGTGAACATTCTTTGCAACTTGAGGTCTGGCATTGTTGTGGTGGAGCAGCAACCTATGGTGTTTTTTTTGCGANTGACGGCCGCTTCTCGCGAAGAGCATCTGGCAAATTGTCCAAGTTGGTGTTCGTAGCGGTCAGCACCAACAGTTTTGCTTGAATTCAGTAGCTCATATCCCCCTTATAATCCCACCAAATACACAGCACCAATGGACATTGCATTTTTGCAGTGGATATTCCGCTTTCGCTACAAACTCGTTGATTGGCCTACATCCACATACGTTGCTTTTCGTTTCAGATTAACATAGTAGATCCACTTCTCATCTAGTGTCACAATCCGGTGACGATAATGAGTCCTTGTGGTCGAAGAATTTCCCTGCAAGTCTTCATGCGTGCTTTTCTGACTGTTGGTGAGCAGTCCGTTTCCCTATTTTGGTGTCTTTCCCACCGCATATAAGAAATAGTGGAAATAGTCGCACGGTTAACGTTCAGCTCCATTGCCAGCTCTATACTGTTTGGGTCTGGGCTGGTTTTCCATCTAATTCATCCAACAACTGCTGGCAACTGCGAATCCTCAAACTTTTCCGGCGGACCTAGACGTGTCTTGTTTTTCAAGTCAAAATCTCCACTTGTGAATCGTTGAAACCATTTTCTGCAGGTTCGTTTAGATGGAGCTTGTTCTCCGTAAGTATCGAAAGACGTCCGGTGGGCTTCGCTGGCAGTTTTCTTGAAAACAAACAGCAGAAGAAGGGCTCCCCGCAGAAACGACTTATCACGTTCCATTTCCAATCAGTTCCAAGCAGCGAGGTTTTGTGGAAACTGATCTGTCTGATCTTGAATAGGTGGACAACACCCTTCTCTTAACATATGACAGGTTTCACAAATAAACCTTCAAAATTGTTTGCGCAACGTCCCTTTGGACTCGGCGGCAACTAGTAAAAATTAATTAAAAGGCAATTAATGAACACACCTGATAGAAGAAGACTAAGAACTAAGATACAAAAAAACTCGCGAGCAAAATAGAGCATTTCCAGAAAGAACTTCCACACCTGCATTCCGCACGTAAAAGTCTTTCAAACGTTGATGTACATGAAGGTAGACTTCTGAGCATAAAATAATGAAATCGAAACTAATTGGGATTTGACAAGATTCCACAAAATTTGTTTTTCAGCGAAGGTACTCAGCGGTGAAGTCGTCCCTCGCGTGATTGGAAATAACGAAGAGCTCAAAAAGTTTTTGACAACCCTCAGAAATTTGGTAAGCATCTGGCCGATACAATGGTGGGGAATCGAAACGTTTTCTCTTTTCCCTTACATACCTGGAAGGTGCAGATGTTTCGGTGAAGGTAATGTGAGGAAGATGCGAGGAAACAGGCAGGAACTTCTTCCCCAACATACATATTAAAATCACCTGTGCCGTGATCATCAGCTGGCTGAAAAACAATTTTGAACACTTTGGCTCGCTGTAGTTACCATACAACCACCATGATCATGTTCTCCGGATACCCTAAAATTATTGTGAACACCTAGAAGAAGATACCAGACAGCTTTACTCGCTCACCTCATATCAGGCCATCTTTGACAGCCGATCTTTTGTGATGGCAGATTGGTATTTTACGAATATAGCAGTATGTTGCACATCGGTTTTTATGAGCGTAATTGCAATACAATTTTCTAGCTAGCAGACCTGAGTTCAAGAAGTAACCGAGATAAGCTTTCGAAAGACATCCAAAACAGACTGAATCAGGCGGAACTGGCGATTATCAACTCTGTGGCTAGACTTTTGGTATCATTTTGTTAGATCATTCTATTACAGTTCTAGTGGACAGAATACGTCTTCTACCACATTCAAAAACTATGAAACTTTGAATGAATTCTTTTGAAGTTACAACTGCAGGACAGTTTTGCATATGCCAACGTCTTGGGAGCTTTTCAGAGTCTAATCAGCGACCTTTCACCACAATGTGAAGGTCTAATGTCAATTTGGAATGATCTTGGATTCTACGTGTGCGATATTATTGCAGCTCCCGCACAAGGATTATGGATGGCTTGCCGTAGGTTTCATCAAAATGCGAATTTTTCATCAAACAATGCTCGAATTACTTATCATTTGTCAATATGACCAGCTGTAGCACGTGCTCAGGTCCCCAGAGTTCGAAACACTTCATACATAGTAATAACGCTATCAGGGTCATTGGCTCAGGCTACTGACCAGTAGGGTCTCGTATATTCTTCCCGAACGGCGCGTCACGCTCACCGCACTCGATCGCGCGCTATGAAAGGGAAGATCCGAATTCCTTGTGGGAGGATACGGCAGTTGCCGCGGAACCACTGCCGCCGGCCGTGGGAATTCGGGAAGAAGTTCCGTCATCCTTGACCAGTATTCGTCAAAGGTTTTACGACGCTACTCAATCTAATGATTCACCTAACACCCAATAATGGGGCAAGTTGGAATGGTGGCAGGTTGGCATTATTACACGAATGGTCCTCCGAGAGAACGAATCCTTGACAGAAACGCGCCAAGGCCAACAGTACTTAATGATAAAAAGTGATGGCTAATGGCATTTCACGCATGTAATGGTG